CCTCTAACAGCGGAGCCAGTCTTTATCTCTAGAGCACAAATGGACTTTGGCAGCCCATTCCCTATGGAGGGAAACTATTGCAGCCCGGATACAGCAAAGAGGGTCAAGACCCTCCCCCAAACAATATGACAGACTTTGAAGGTCCTTGGTAGAGGACCTCACTATCCCTGGGGAGGAGTCAGGGGTGGGTTGGGTGGGGAACATGGGAGGATGCGAGAGCGAGGGAATGAGTAATTAAAAATAATTAAAAAATGAAAAAAGAAAGACAACACACAAGAGTCAGGCCTCTCCATCCACCATGTGAGTAGCAGGAATTACAGTCAGGCCAGGCTTGCAGGCAGGTAACCTTACTTGATACACTATCCCTATGGATCCTGTCCGAGCCTTTATTATCCCAGGTCTGCTTCCTTCCTTGAGGTACCTTCCTCCCTCTCTTCTTTCTCACTCCATCTATCACATCTTCATTTTGGGAACTTTGAAAGTGCTCAAATGAATTTAGTAAAACTGGGGGAATAATGGAGAATATAATATATGAGGAAAATTACAGCTACCCACAACATACCAAAGAGACCCTCTATTAGATTTATTACTAATTGAATTAAGTCAATGTATGGGTATTTTATAATAAATTTAGAACATGTGCATGATGTAAAAAGCCATGTGATACTGAGATATAGACTGTGAAAAGGTTGGTCATGCATCAGCTTCCCTGAGAGGCAGTCTCTATTATAGAATCCCTAAGACATGTATGTCCACAACCTAATCCCATGCACACAGGTAACGAAAGCTACTGAGATTTCAGGTTGATGGTCCCTCATGGGAGGCCACACCCTCTCTGGGGAATGGATGGAGGTGAGATGGAGGATGGTGGGGGCATGGGAAGACAGAAGGGGGAGAGAAATGAGATTGGTATGTAAAATAAGATTGTTTTTAGTGGAAATAAATATTTATTTTCTTAAAAAAAGAAATGCAAAGTTCCTCAAATTTCCAATTATTCTGTGTCTCTGGTTTGTCTACATGAGACTATTCTGAAAATATCCTCCTACACTTAGTGCCAGATTAGAGGCATAACCACATCTACTTTATGTTTTTAATAATGTCCTCCAATTGAATTCCTCACAGTGTTTTCTAGGGGATAGATTCATACCAATACTTTTTGTCTTTCTCAACCCAGCCTACAGGGTTCAACAGAACACTGATTACCCCATTAATGTTGTTAAAATATACATTGATGTATGAATGTGCTTCCTTTGGGTATATGCCTAAAAGTGGAATTGCTGGATCTTGTGGTAGACTGATTCCCATTTTCCTGAGGAGTCGCCATACTGATATCCAAAGTGGCTATACAAGTTGGCACTCCCACCAGAAGTGTAGAAGTGTTCCCCTTTCTCCACATCCTCTCCAGCATATAGCTGGGATAGCAGCATGGGACTGATCCAGACCCCAAGAACATGGGTTTCAGTGAGGAAACCTCAGAAATCTAGGGGACCTTCTGTAGTAGTTCAGTACTTATCCCTAGCATAGATGTGGACTTTGGAAGCTCATTCCACATAGAGGAATACTCCCTGAGCCAAGACACGGGGGTGGGCCTAGGCCCTATCCCAAAGGATACAATAGACTCTGATAACGCCCTATGGAAGTCCTCACCATCCAGGGGGAGCAGAAAGGATATGTGATAGGTAGGGTTTTAGTTGGGGGAGTGGTAGGGAGGCCAGGAGGGAGAAGGAAACTGGGATTGTCATGTAAAACAATCCTGTTTCTAATTCAAATAAACAAAACTGGAAAAAATATACATTGTTGGTAGTTGGTGTCCACCAGGTCTCACAGCTATAACTTTCTTGTACATACTAGAAATATTGAGAGGAAATACACTGATATAGTGAAAATCTCCTTTTTGTGTAAATTTCATCCACAAATGTTAGAAGCATTAGACTCCAAGTCAGGGACTACCACTTATGTTTTGTTTTCTAATTAAAAACAGTAACACAAAGCAGATTCTTCACTAAGAGGCAGCAGGATCATGGGATGAGTTAGTTTATAATGAGACAACAGACAACCAACACATCTCGGTGGATCAACAAATCAAAGCTTCTCCCCTTTGCTTTCACTGTTTTTTGTAAGGGGTTGATGATCATTTGGGGTGCAGCTAATCCAGATTCACCTTGATGCAGTATCTGTGGAGAGGAGGAGGGAGTAAGGTGACTGCATTGGCTCTTAGATTCTGCCTAGATGAACAGACACTGCCTGAGCCATATTTTTGCAAAATAAACCAAAGATCTATGGATGTATAGGTGAACTGAGCCTAATCCTTTGTCCAAAAGAGAAGAAAGGAGATGTGTCTAAATGGTTCCAAGTGTCTAACCCTCTCTCCTAGACTTTGCATTAGAGAAAAATGAAGTGTAGTAAATCTACTGTTCTTCCCAATAGTCTCTCCCTTTCTGAAAACAGAGCTACACCTCTTCCCCTTTGAGTTTTAACAGACTGTGTTTGCTTCCTACTTTTAAACAGGCACAGTCCAAGAGGAACTTAAAGGATGGAAACAAGCATTAAGACCCTTAAACTGGTCGGCAATGGGTGGCATCCACAGTACTTCCTGTACTCAGGATGCAGAAGCAGCCAAATCTCTGTGAGTTCTGGGACAGCCTGGTCTACAAAGTGAGTTCTAGGATAGCCAGGGTTGTTACAGAGAAACACTATCTCAAAATAAAAGTCACCAAGAAGGACGCTAGTCCTGGAAGACGGTGGGTGTGTGCTCTGCTCACTATAGAATGTTGTCATGAAGCATCAAACTGCATCACAACCCACTATAGAACATTGGGCTCATAGCCAGGGCAACAGAGAGGCAAACAGTCTTGCCTCAAATTTGTTGACTGTGCTGCCAAGCACTTATGCCTTAGAGCTACTGGCTACGAAGCTCATTGTGATTACCTCAATTTCGGGGTATACAGAGGCCCATTGCCCTCTGAAGCCTCACTTTTCCCTCAAGACAAGACTTTTGAATTAAGACCATCGAACTGTCTACAGTGAACTACCTCCCAAGAGATAAGAATGAATTGATGGCCTCAGTGAGTTAAAGGTTCACTTCCATACTGTCACATCCATCTTGTGTCACTTTCCTCCTGCCTCCAACACCAAAAGTGTACCTTCACTGCTAAAAAGGACATCTAGCACTTTACACTGTGAATTCCGAACATCAAAATGTCTCAGGATAAGATGACTCCTAGTGGACTAACTGATCCATCAGACATCAATTCAATATCCCCAAAGGATGCACAAAGAGTCAGACTATCCTGCACTTCAACATGGAAATTAAAAGGCATTTGCCAAGTAGACAGCCAGTTCCTGACCAAAGGTAGGCAAAGGCCTTCCTCAACACGGCAATGTAACCAACAGATTGGTACCATGAGTCCCAAACATGTAGTGAAATTTCGAAAAAGAAAGAGCCAGGGGGAAGGAGGAAGAGATCAGAAGTGTGAAGAGCCACACGAGTCTCCCAAGAGAGTGAAACAAGAACTCTATGAAAAAGAGCCTGCTCATCAAGAATCTGGAAATCGTCAGGCAATGAATCCCATGGCAAAGGGTCCATTGCACCCAAATAAACAAGACAAGGTCAGAAACCCTGAAGAGGAGGATGTCATTGAGGTGAAATATGTGGGTGCTGGCAAGAGTCGCAAGCGCACTTACTCCAACATACAGGACAGAGTTGAGAAACAGCACAATGAAAAGTGCAGAAGGTTGTCCCACCATCTTCAACCCTGCGATCCTGTCCACTCTGGCCCGCCCAGCACTCACACAAGACCTGCTGACAACCTGAAGAACATCAAAGGCTGCATGGAAGA